TAACCTTAGTATATAATGACACCCTTCTTTTCTTGTTTACACAGTATTTCACTGGTAATTTTCTTAACAAGATAAATATGAAAATATTCCTACAGAAATAACATCGATGCATTTGAAGATTCAAAATGCAAAGCGAGTTTCCTCAGACTCTTCTAGCTAACATATTCAAGTAGTCAGATAAATATCTCCAGTTCTAAAGCATGAGACAGTGTTTTGATGCCTTTAGAAAGGCCCTAAAAAACAGAGTACATTCAAGTTAGTGAAGGTAATCTGGCTGACATTAGGAAAAGACTGATGAAAGTGGTTGTTCCCCATGACAACGGTGTAACGACTGGAATTTGAGCTGCGGTTGAAAACCTGGTCTTTGGAAGTGGAAGGAGGACTGAACAAACAGATCACTCGTTCATTACTGTCCAATAAAAATGTAATGCAAAATGTGTATGTAAATTAAAATTTTTCTGGTAGCCAATTTAAAATGTAAAACAAACCCCACACATTAAAATGTTATTTAACTCAATGTATCCAAAACCTCATTACTTCAATATGTAATCTATATAAAATTATTATTTCTTATTCTTTTTTCATACTATGTCTTTCAAATCTGATGTGTATTTTATAATTTCAGCACATCTTAATTTGAACTGGCCACACTTCAAGTGCTCAATAGCCACATGGGGGTAACGACTATGGTATTGAACAGTTTGGGATTTAATCTCTGCTTGGAGAGCCTGACATCACCCAGAGAGGTTGTGCAGCTGAATCAAAACATCTGGTTTGAGGTGGCCTTGGATAAGTCAGAGGTACTACTTTTTTCTCTTTATTCCCCATTCCTTTGCCCCTTCCTCCTTGATATCATGTAATGTATGCTAACTATGTACCAGATACTGGATACTGTGCTGGGCATTCTAAATACATTATCTCATTAATACTGTAAGAATCAGAGATCTTTATAGTTAAAGTAAATGAAATAACTAAATGATGGCAATACAGTGCAGTGGTTAAGAGTACAGACTTGGAGGCTATTCGTACATGTTTCTGCCATGTCCTGTGTACCTTAGGTAAGAAATTTCTTCTTTAAGCTTCAGTTTCATCAATTGTCAAACGGACACAATAAAAGATGTTGTTCTTTGGTTTAAATGAGACCATGCCTGCAAAGCTGTAAGTACCCGTGAAATATTAAATGGGATAAATGTGGGACACTTTGGAATTTGCAGTACATTATACAAATATTATTACTACTGCTACTACTACTGAGGCGCAAAGAAGTTAAGTGATGTAGCCAAGGTAACACAGTTGATAAGTAGTGATCAGGTTCTCACTCAGTTTGCCTGTTTCTAGAGCAGTTTTTTTTTTGCCATCTCTTTATAGTTACAACATGAACTGAATTTGACTGTGTCAGAAAATGAAAAGGTGTCTGGAAAAATAAATTCATGATATCTGTTTGCCATTATCATAGGAGCGGAATTCAGGGGGGAATTCTGTTTTTTTAATAGGAATTTACTGTTCTAAGAAACTAGACAGAACATACATAGAAAAAGGAAATTTCAATTTAATTTTTTTCACTCCTTTGTTCTTTTTGACTCTGATTTTAGTAGGGAACAGTGCCCTGAATATACTGGCATTAAATTCATGCATGTTGTGTTAAATTAAATAAAGGACAGCGATATTAAAGCTATCATTCCCTTTTAACAATGTATTTATAGGGACATGTGCCTCTCATCTTTTAAGACAAAATTTCTTGGAACTTATAGAAATTTGATAGTACTATCAAAAGTACATGTAATCAGTTTATACACTGTGAAAGTTTCTATGTATGTAAAATATTTTTTTTCATTAAATTAGCGAGTAAAAATAACAGCAAATGCCAGTGCTATTGGTTCTAACTAGCTAATAATGCCACTTTGAGTATTCTCTCTCTGTCTGGATGTTGTACTTTTCACCTGCTGCACAGAATTGTTTTTTCCAGTCCTTATGTATACAACCTCTTTAAATGCTTTCTGTTTGATTTCATCTCACTCTTCTTTTCTCTCACTCCTTTGTCTTACATCACTGCTCCTTTGTGCAGTGATGTAAGGCTCCTAATAGAGTCATATGAATCAGTCAACAGGGCCCCAGAGTTAGGAGGAACCACCAATGCTAGTTCAGGGCCATGACTAGCTTCAAGTGTGTGCCCCACTTGAAGAAAACCCCACTCAACTCCATTTTAATCTTGCATTACCTATGCAAGTCATAGTTACTTATTGTTTTGTTTCTGAAAGAAAAACCAAGGGCAGGGACTAGATGGCTAGATATGTAGGTTCTAGTTTGGCCTGGCTCTTGCCATGTCATTTTCTCTCTTTAGCCTTAGATAGCAACTCCCATAATTTCCCCCAAGGATTCCCTCCATGACCTGGCTATTGCTTCACCCCTATATCTCGTCTTTCCGCAGTCTTCTGACCTCACTGTACTATGGCCACATTGCAGGCCTTCTAACATGCTGTTTCCTCTGTCTGGAACACACTTTTCCTGCTCCTGTTCCTGGCTAATTCCTACTCATCCTTTAGGCCTGTTAGGAACCATCTCCTCAAGGAAGTCTTCCTTGATTTCCTCATCCAGATTAGGATTCTCACAGGGGTTCTCATAGCATCCTGGATCTCCCTCCTGCCTCCACTCCCCAGCTTTCATCTGGAATTAGATTTTACTGTATGGTTTCCCAGCTAGAAAGTGTGCCTAAAGTCAACGATCCTGTCTTTTTATTTATCTCTGTGTCCCTTATGCTTAGCACATAGTTGGTACTCAATAAATATTGGCTCTGGGTGGAGGAAAGCAACTAAGCAGGGCATTCAAGAAGTTTCCCAGGGTGCTACCACCTTCACCCTCCTTTGCCACACCTGTAATGGAGTAATATGGCAAACATTTCTATTCATCACCAAAGGTGTCTTGAGAACACTGTGTTTGTTTAGAAGAAATATTGAGTTAGTTGATATATGTTTAAGAACATGGACTTTTTGGTCCTTCTTGAGGGCAGATTTCTTGGTTTTGAATCACTTAATGACTGTAAAACTTTGGGCAAGTTACTTAACTTTTCTTGGCCTCACTTTCTTCATGTATAAAATGGGGGGTGAAAATAATAGTACTTACCTTAGAGGGTTTTTGTGAGGATTATATGAATTAATACACATAAAGGACTTAAGAGTTACTGGCACATATACACACTTAGTGCCAGCTATTATTATTACTATTATTAAACTATTAAGGGTAGGGGATGAGCTCAAGAAATCAAAGTTGATCCCTAAATTTTGCTTGTCAGAAGAGTGGTCCTGTTCACTCTGGGCTTTCTGTTTTGTTTAGGAAATGAGGCTGAAGCCAAGGTGATTTACTGTGTTAATTAGGGAGGAGATAACTTTGACATTGGGAGGAGAGAGAAGCAAGATTCATTTATACATTCTATGAATTTTTATTGAATATCTATTTTGTGCTAGACATAAAGGAAAATAAGATAGTTGTAGCAGTTACAGAACTCTCAAAATAGCAAGAAAGGAGAGAGGAGCTAGAGAGGCTGGGTACTGGTGGGGAAAACGGGGAGGGCAGGTCAGTTTGTCTCCAGTGGGTGTGGCACAACAGAAGATCTTGAGAGAACAGAAATGCTAAAGCAGAATTTTAAAGCATCTGCTATAGGATGTGTCACTTAAATCTTCCCCTCCATCGCCCATGAAATCTTCAATAAAGCTTTCATTGCTCACTGGAGACAGCCTGACAAAGGGGAAGACAGCAGATATCTGGGTTACAGCTGCTGGGGGAAAGATGCTATAGGCAAAAAAAGGCCTTCCTTACTCTTGTGTGCTACCAGTAAGAGAACATTACAGTGCATGCAATATTTAATGATTATAAATGATACCCTCATGCACTGCATAATACAGGCCTCTTTAAAATGAATATGAATTAAACAGTACCAACAGCAACCATATTAACCAAAGAGAAGGTATTATTTGAGGGAAAGGAGGCCATTACTGAAGCTGGGAGTCAGGTATGACCACCAACTGGCCCTTCTGTGGTTAATTAGTCAAACTGGTGATTCCTCAGCAACTCTAACTTGTTATTTTATAAACCATGGCTTATGATGATGCAGACTTTCTTAAACATAAATTTTCTAAGGTTTAGGTGTGGGGAAAGAAGGGGTTCATTGTGTACTTATTGCTCCCATCCTTTTTAAACTTCTAGTTTTTCACTTTCATGTCATTACCATTATTAAAATAACAATTTAAAGAAATGTATATATATATATATTTTTAAAAAGCACCAGCCTAAGAAGTAATCAGTCTTCAACTAAATAAAACAAATTGCCTGAATTTCTAAGAGTGAAATAAATAAAGCTCTGTTGGAATTTACCTACACAAATTGAGACTTTAGGAGGAAAAGAGAAATAAACTAGTCTTTTTTCCCCCCTTAGATTTATTTACTGTATAAACCCTGGGGTTTCCATATATTATAATGTGACCACTGATTAAAAAGATATATGGTTGTTTACTAATGTTCTCAAAGCACTATGCAAATTCCTATCACCTTGGGTATATTTTGCCGTTAAAGCTAAGAAGTAAATATGGAAGCATTTTGTAGTTAACAAGGTTAAAATGTTACTTCGAATAGTTGGCTTTGATTAAGATTTTCCTTTAAATCATTAATAGGAAAATGAGAACTTGGGTGGTTAAGCATGACATGTAAATGAGAGTTTTCTTTTTTAGGTCTTATCAGTGAAAAAATCAGATATTTTGAATTGGGTAGAGTCAGAAAATAAGATTGCTTGTCTTTTTATGCCATGTTTTTAAATAAAAAAAATTAAAATAAAGGGTGTTAGAGCAAAGCAGAGACAAACCTAGGGAATACAGGAAGGATAATACACTATACTAATACAGGAAGGATATATTTTTGTCCTCTTAATAAGATAAGGAATATATATCTTTAAAGCAGAAAAAGGCTTTACAAACCTTTTTTCAGCCTTCCAGTATCTAATTGGTCTCAGAATGGCAACCATTTCTTATTCTCAGGCAGTGGGTGAGAAATGCATAGTTCAACTGCAACCAGAGGCTCAGAAAAATCAAGGTGTACACACGGCTTTAGCTTCTACCATTCGGCTTCCAGAGAGAATTTCAGGGAAAAGGCAATTTGAAATGCACATATTTTAGCCAGGTATTAATCATGCCTATCTCCTTAACTATGACTGATTCTACGATTATAAGCTTTCAACTTAAGTGTGAGAAACCCATTTTTCCCTTTTTTGAAGACCTAAAAAAAAAAAAAAAAAAAAAAAGACCCCTGGGTGTCACAAATTTCTATCAAACAAGAAAATGAAGTAATTTAGTAGCTTTGGGACACTATTAAGTTTGCGTCAGCTTTTCAGGTGTCTCAAGATTTGCGTTGCTTTACAGTAATAACTAAATTCATGGCAAAGTTGAGCAATGATTTAAGCTCATGTTAAAATACCCTAAATCTGTTTTATTTTAAAGCATTTTAAGTATGCTTTACTTTGGAAGACATCAACAACAGCAACGCATCATCTTCCAGAATACTTTCCTATACCACCAGGACTCTCAAGAAATGGGAATTACTATAAGGGAACACACGGCACTGACCTTTTGAGAATATTCTGGAAGTATCAGTGTGAACGGCCGCTTCTCTGCGGGGGAGAGAGATGAAATTTAGCAGAAGCGGCATCTTTTCTAAGTAGAAACACGGTTTGCCTCTTAGAAAGCTTTTCTACTGGAATGGGTTTGCTGAGAGCTACGTTCCTCTGGAAGTTTAAATCTGTGGACCGTTGAATATCACTCCGCCTGTTTTGAAGTTACAAAATACTGTCTATGGGGTGGCGGGAATAGAGACTTTGGAGAATTAAATGTCTAAGACCTCAGATAACCCAGATGACATACATGCAATATCATTCCACGAAGAATTTAATTCAACCCGATCCCTTGCATGTAATTAACCAAGGCACAGAAATTCCAAATTTTGCACTCCTGAAAAGGGAGGGAAAATGCAAGGGTCTTGCTGCAGTTCCTGGGAAGTTCTGAGAGCCGCTTTGTTACAAGTGTATCCAAATGTCCCCAGCACCAGGGACTTCTGGGGCGCTGCTCTTTCCTGCTCCACTCGCTCTGCAGCTCCCAGAGGAGGCGGCTGTGCTAGGAAGACAGTCCTTACCAAGCTGCTCGACAAGATGCTGCGCACCCCCAAGTGCTCGCGGTGCCGGAACCATGGCTTTCTGGTGCCAGTCAAGGGCCATGCGGGCAAGTGTCGCTGGAAGCAGTGCACCTGCGAAAAGTGCTACCTGATTACCGAACGCCAGAAGATCATGGCCGCGCAGAAGGTTCTCAAGAAGCAGGCCTCTGAGGAGGAGCAGGAGTTGGCCTCCGGGGCCGCGGCTGCGGCCCCGGCCTCCCGCCTCCAGCCGGTGCCTCCGCTT